AGCCTTGAAAAATTCCCTTTGATGTGAATGGAGTCTTCAGCATTTTGAAATACAATAAGATGGATTAATTGCTACTCATTAGGCAGCAAGTTGGGACAGCTTTGAATGCGCATTCTCTTCTTGGCATTAGCTATTGCCTGGCTGAAATAGCCAGCTTTTGTATTTACTCCTGTCTTCTCTAATAATAAGCAAATTGGAGATCAGGGCTAGAAACACTGAAGTGCTCTCTATCTTTTGTCCAGAACAATTGTATATTGTCATGATTTGTTTATCTTTTTTGAGCTACAGCTAATTATTGTAAAGGTTATTTGAATCAATACGAGATCTGAGCAGAAATAACATCTGCAAAATTGCTTATTAGGAAGCAATTTTATGCTAGTGTTACTGTAACATCCATTTTGTGAACAAATTGTTGTTTCTTATGTCTTTTTTTCTTTCTTACATGAAAAGTTTTGCATTTTAAATACTGGTACAGGTTTTAGGGCTTCTTGAATTAATACTGCTCTGTTGTGCTTACTTTTCCTCATACTGTCTTAGATTTTTTTTTTACTCCCAAAGTCATAGATAACATGGTATTCAAAGCCCCATGTATCATTCTAGGATAATAGTTTTTATTTTTTTTGTTTAAGAACTTGTTTGAACTGATTGATTGAATTATTCTTCTGTTTATGTTGGATTAAAAGAAAGTCAAGCACAAATCCTTTTGTGCTTGTTATGTAAAACTCTTGTTTCATGCAGGGCTTTTGTAGATATTAAGATTTATAAATTAATTATACTGGGGAATTATTATTATCTAATTTAACTATGTATTTTGCATTCCAAAATGAATTGTGAAAAGCAAACCTCAAGGGCCTGATTCATTAAAAGTTGTAGTCTTCTTGCATTAGATGCTTAGAGCTTGCATCTTCCAAAAGCAAAGTGTGTGCGACTGCAGCCAGAAGCAGTCAGCTAAACCACGAGGCACATCCTGGTCTCCCCTGCAGAGATGATATTTTAGGGATTTAGTGGAACTAGACCAGTTTTCCACTGACTGGACTCTAAACCCACCCTGGTAACATTCATTACTCATTATGTACCGCAGTGCAGAAGACTTCTACAAGAGGAGGGCGAGGCAGGGTGTGAGTGCCGCCTGTTGCTCGCTCCAGTGTCATTCCTGGGCAGCAGCAATCCCATCTGAGCCCATCAATTAGGTAGGGTCAAACCAGGTCAGGGCCAGATGGGACCTATCCAAGGAATACCTTAAGCTCCAGCAGGATTTAATGATCCAGTAGGAGATGCTGTCCCCCCCAAGCCTCTGCTGAATCTCAGCACGGGACTGCAGCTTGCTGGGCCAAACTTTTATTTTACTACATCAGTGTAAACCACATTGGGCTGAAAGAAATTATTCCAGCTTTACAAACCAGCACAAGTGAGAGCAAAACAAACTCCTTTCTGGACAAGATAGGAAATCAAATTCTTAACTATTTGCAGTCATTAAAAATCCCACAACGTTCCTGTTTTAGAGTAGGGGTGTTAACCCATTTGTCCTGGCCAAATTCCAACCTGGGTAATTACTGTAATCTGCCTGTGTAAATTACCCCTGCCGTTTTAATTGGATATATTCCTTCTCTTGCTGCCTGAAGTGTGATGTAATACCATTGTGTGTTATTAATCAGTTACCAGGTTTCATCCCAGCAGTGACAGGTAGAGAGCCTCATTCCCTCCTGGTTACGAGTGCTCTCTATTACAGCACGAAAATCCCCAACATACACTTGTTTTTAAGTGGCAGACAAGCTGATATTGCAATCTAAATAATCAGCTTTAAAATGTGGCTATCCCATTTATTTTTGAAGACCATGAAGTCTGCTTGATTATGCAAGCACAGGCAGCTTGCAGCTCTCCAAGTGAACCTGGAGCTGAAGGTGCTTTTTTGCCAGTGCAACGCAGGACCTCAAAAGTGTCTGTATTTGACTTTGAATTTGATTTCTGTCATGTTTGAATGTAAAGTTTCTTTGGGAAAAGCTGATCTTTCCACTGTGCAAAGATTCCTAAGCCTACAAAAGGTGAAACTTCCCGTCGGAGTGTACTGGCCTGATGTACCAGATCAGATTTGTCACCAGTGGGAAACTCTGTGGGGGTTGTTGAAACACCTCAAAACCAGCCCTGTTGCAAGGATTGCCTATCTGAGCTGTCATTCCAAAGGTCTTTCCCTATCTCTCCACCCTCCTGAAAATGTAATCAGCCAAGGAGGATAAGAGGAATGGCCCCACAAAACACAGATCATTCTAGGGTGAAAAGCAGCAACTGGTAGGAAGGAAGGCATGTACCATTTTGTGTCACAAAAGAAAAAAATGTTTTCTCCCTCCAAAAATCCCTGTCACTGTCCCTAAAATTCAGGATCAGCAGGTTCATTGTAATGGTGACTAAGAGCTCCCCAGAAGATTTTGAAGGAAGTGTAAATCTTCAATAATTTTTCTTAGTTCACGCATTAGGGTGGGATTTGCCTGCTGTAACTGTTGCTGGGTGTCCAGGCTCCCGTTCCAGTCCTTGGATGGCAATAACATTGCCGAAAGTAATGCACTTGAGTTGGTTTCAGTGCCTCACAAGGCAGAAATAAATACAGCTCCTCCTGGACTGCACTAACACCAGCAGAGAAATAGCCAGAGACTTCAGAGGGATAAAGCAAGGCAAGAAGAATTTCATAGACATAACCTACCTCAACTCCCAGGAATGGACTTTAACAGCCCTGACAAAGCTTTCACTTTTAAATTCTCCTTTAGTTTAGCTCCATCTGCTAGTGGATCCAGAAGAGTCTGTCCCCTTGGCAGAGGCACAGGCACATCCTGATGTGGTGGCACAGGCATGGCTGGGGCAGGCAGGAGGCAGGGCAGGAGGGGAGCCTGCAGTGCCCCAGCAGGTCTGGAGAACAACAAGGTGGGGACAAAAGCAGCTTCACACGGTGTTGGAGATTGCTAGGAGCCAGAGGCACAGTTCTCCTGTGTCATTTGTTTTACACACAGGACACAGATCCCCTGGATGTTGGGTTTTGGTAGGATTCAGCAGGCTCTGTGAGACTCTCATGGTTTGGCATTTCCAAGCCAGCTCTGCTTACACAAAAAGGGTGGAACAGAGAAATCTGGTAGGGCTAGATCTCCATATAGCTTCAGGAAATCTCCCTTCCATCTTTTCATGATGGAGGGTTCTTCTTGCTGTGCAAGAGTGTAGAGGGGTCTGGGGAGCTGCATGAACCTCAGGATTCTGCCACTTCTTAGCACCCAGCTAACATCTCTTTAGCCTGCAGACACCCAAAGGCAGCCAGTAAAACATGCCATGCACAACCCTCCTGTGCACACCTTCCCACCTGGGGCAGGCAGGGCTGAGAGCCAGGGCTGACCTCCAGCTCTTAGCCAGAGAGCTGCTTCCTGTGCTTCTATTGGAAAGCTGCAAGCTTTGTGAAAGGACTGAGTTGGTCCCTGCACTGAGGGATGGGTCCCTGAGCACAGGTGAGCCCAGGGGTCAGAGCTGCTCAGGCAGCTGAGCACAGGGCTGTCCTGCAGGCTCACACCCTGCAGGGAGCACAGGGAATGGTGCTGGGCACAGGGAATGGTGCTGAGCACAGGGAATGATTCTGAGCACAGGGAGTGGTGCTGGGAACAGGGAATGGTGCTGAGCACAGGGAATAGGGCTGGGCACAGGGAATGATTCTGAGCACAGGGAGTGGTGCTGGGAACAGGGAATGGTGCTGAGCACAGGGAATGGTGCTGAGCACAGGGAATGATTCTGAGCACAGGGAATGGTGCTGGGCACAGGGAATGATTCTGAGCACAGGGAGTGGTGCTGGGAACAGGGAATGGTGCTGGGCACAGGGAATGATTCTGAGCACAGGGAGTGGTGCTGGGAACAGGGAATGGTGCTGGGCACAGGGCTGTCCTGCGGGGTGCACAGGGAGTGGTGCTGGGCACAGGGAATGATGCTGGGCACAGGGAATGGTGCTGGGCACAGGGAATGGGGCTGAGCACAGGGAATAGGGCTGGGCACAGGGAATGGGGCTGAGCACAGGGAGTGGTGCTGGGCACAGGGAATGATTCTGAGCACAGGGAGTGGTGCTGGGAACAGGGAATGGTGCTGAGCACAGGGAATGATTCTGAGCACAGGGAATGGTGCTGGGCACAGGGAATGATTCTGAGCACAGGGAATGGTGCTGGGAACAGGGAATGGTGCTGGGCACAGGGCTGTCCTGCGGGGTGCACAGGGAGTGGTGCTGGGCACAGGGAATGGTGCTGGGCACAGAGAATGGTGCTGGGCACAGGGAATGGTACTGGGCACAGGGAATGGGGCTGAGCACAGGGCTGTCCTGCAGGTTGCACAGGGAGTGGGGAGTGGTGCTGGGCACAGGGAATGGTGCTGGGAACAGGGAATGGGGCTGGGCACAGGGAATGGTGCTGGGCACAGGGAGTGATGCTGGGCACAGGGAGTGATGCTGGGAACAGGGAATGGGGCTGAGCACAGGGAATGATGCTGGGCACAGGGAATGGTGCTGGGCACAGGGAATGGTGCTGGGCACAGGGAATAGGGCTGGGCACAGGGAATGGTGCTGGGCACAGGGAATGGTGCTGGGCACAGGGAATAGGGCTGGGAACAGGGAATGGTGCTGGGCACAGGGAATGGTGCTGGGCACAGGGCTGTCCTGCAGGGTGCACAGGGAGTGGGGAGTGGTGCTGGGCACAGGGAATGGGGCTGAGCACAGGGAATGGTGCTGGGCACAGGGAGTGATGCTGGGAACAGGGAATGGGGCTGGGCACAGGGAATGATGCTGAGCACAGGGAATGGTGCTGGGCACAGGGAATGGGGCTGGGCACAGGGCTCACACCCTGCAGGATGCACAGGGAATGATGCTGGAGCATCTCCTGCCCTGCTCCACCTGCTGCTCTCCAGGCTGTGTCCCACAGGGGCTCCTTGCACAGCTCAGGGAAACACTCTCAGCAACAATCCCTCTCCTCCAGTATCCACAGCTTTCACACAGGCAGCTGGGGGTTGTTTCTCCCCAGGGCTTTGCTGGTTTTTTTTCTTTTTAAACCATTTTCCCCCCCTTTTAATGAATCAGACCCTGGGTGAAAATAATGCTTTTGTTTAAAGGTGATATTTAATGTTGAGCAAACTGCTCTTCCTTTGTCTTTTACTATTTTGTTCATATTTTGCTAAGAGTCTGCTATTCTACACAAGCATTTTAATAAACTGTTTGTTGTTGTATCCAGGTAACAAGCATGGTAAGTATTTTGACTAAACCAAGTATTATGTACCTTAGCTGTGCTTGGCAGAATTTTTTGGCTAGCTTTTCCTGTACTTTCAGCCTGTGCTGTTTCTAAAGGAGCTATTCAAAGGAAGAAACTGCTCACCTATAGTACTACTACATACAAGCTTTGGAGGGAGCATATGTGCAAAGTCATATATCATACATAAGAGCATGCACCTCTTGCCAGCATGCTTGCTACTTTGCTTGTAAAATAAAAGCAGAAAAAAAAAAACCAACCCAAAACATCCTTGCCTAATACTGCTTGTGTTCCTTCACTCTAAGTGACACACCTAAATATTGGTAGTTATTAATGCAGTACTTCTGGATGAGGAACCCTGCTGTACCAGGTGTAGCAGTCTGTTGTTTCCTCATCTCCCCTGAGCTAAGACATCCCCCTGGTTAACTCTGTTGCATTAAGAGGCCGTCCCTTTCTGTCCTGTGACCATCCCTGACTGGCAGTGGCTGGACTCCAAGTGCTGCTCTAACACAAGTAGCTGATAACAGCCCACCTTTTCCTAAACTCCTTCCTGTGTGCTGCAAAAAAGCAGGAATTTTATGGCTGGTAGCTCTCTGTGGCAACACTGTAAATCAGTAAAACGCCACAACTCAACATTTAAGATGTCATTTGCGTGGTTGTGACCTAACTTTGGAAATCCTTGTCGTAAAGCTGAATCCAAAATGTCCCTAAGCCTGAAGAAAGCTGTCCCTGTTTGCGAGTCAGCCGCAGTTCTGTGTTCTCATTTTACAGGGCAATACAAAAGGCAGACTTCTCTTAGATGGAAATGGCAGAGCTCAAATCTCAGTGCTCCCTGTCCTGCAGGCAGAGCTGAGCCTCAGGAGCACGCCCTGCTTAGCCCAGCCTGATTTAAAATCAGAATTTGCCCAGATAAACAACTGGGCAGCAGTTTGCTGTGCCAGAGCTTCCTGTGTGTTGGCAGAGCAGACTGTGAGAATTCAGGTCTACCCTGCATGTCCGAGAGGAGGTTTTGCCTTGAGGTAGTTTGAGTGTTAGCCTCCGTGCTGTATTTATTTTTTTTTTTCCTGCATGGTTTGCTATTTTTGCATTTTCTGTGTGGCTTTTGAAGTTTTTAGTTTCGTGCTTGTAGCTGCAGTTATTTAATGCCATTTGTTGTGCCAAACGTTTTAAGACTCCGTGTAATTGTCATATTAAAGGATCAGACAGCAAAGGACAAAGCACTCCAGCACATGGCAGCAATGTCATCGGCTCAGATAGTCTCAGCTACTGCTATTCACAACAAGCTGGGCCTGCCAGGAATTCCCCGTCCTACATTTCCTGGGGCACCTGGGGTAAGTCCCAAAAAAATCCCTGTATTCCCTAACAACGTTCAGTAGAACACTAAGATGGAATGAGTGGATTAACGCTTTGACTTGAGTTTGCAAAAGGAATCGTGCTTGTTCAAAAATACCCCGAGTCCTTCCAAACAAAGAGAACAACTGTGGCCCTGTTTGTTTGTTTTTCCTCTTTCAGTTTTGGCCGGGCATGATCCAAACGGGGCAGCCTGGATCCTCGCAAGAGTAAGTCTGAAAATTCCAAAGTGCTTTTTCTCTGTGCAGTGTGAAGGGTGGCTTGTGCACTCTGGGAGATCAGCGAAGCAAGGACTTGCAGATTTTTCCAAAAAGGAGGTAAAGACAGTTTCAGGGAAAGAAAGAGCCTTTATAGTGATGTGAATTCACTTTCAAAAAGTTATAAGGGATTCCAAACCTCAAAACTGAGGCTGAATGCCAGATGGGCACCCTCCTTTGTGTCCTCTGGGAGTCCCAGCAGTGCCCACCCCTGGCTGTAATTCTCACCCCCTCTATTCCCTCTGTGCTGTCTGTCTGTTAAATGTGCTCTGCAAGGAAGAGATTTGTTTGTGGGTAAGGTCATCAGGCACCTATTCTCCTATACTGTGTGACTCTGGTGGAATTTCCTGTGGGTGGCACAGTGTGTGATTTTTGTGCATCTCTTTTTTGCAGTGTCAAGCCATTCGTTCAGCAGGCCTATCCTATACAGCCATCAGTCACAGCTCCCATCTCAGGTAATCCTCCCATTCATCCTCTGCCTTAAAAATACTTGAATTTTGTACTGAATGTGATTTATTAACTTCTGCCCTGGGCAGAGCCACTGCTCAGGATCTCATGTGTCCTCCAGCCAAAGGAAGCATCAATCCCAGTGTCCTATTATTATATATATATATATATATATATATATATATATAGTGTCCTATATTATATCTTAGGGGAAATCATTGTGTTTGGGCTTTTTTTTAGGTAGGAAGCACTAATGCATATGCAAGGAGTTGTGATGTGTGATTTCCAGTCAGCACTCTGTATTGTAGGAATTACTGTAAAAAATGTTTAATAGGATGAATGTTTCCTTTAGAATAGCTCTGTAGCAAGAATACACCTTAATTTATTTTAAACTGAGCCCAAAACCCCTCCCAATATCATATACACTTAGCCATAAGTGTAAAACTTCTCTATGTATCAGGTTGTTTAAAACTCATCCCCTCCTGGAGGTCCTGCTTTGCCTGGTACCACTTTGATAAGTACCTAATTTTATTCTGAATTTCATTGCTCAAATTGATCAAGCCTTTCCCATGGCTACTTCCCTGCTACTTTTCCCAGGTTCTCTCCATGCCTGACTTCATGAAAGCTCATTATTTCTTTGCAGATGATTTCTCATGTTATGTCTCCCTTGCCAAATGCCCCCAATGCTTCTGACTCTGTGTAGCAAGTTTTGACTCTTACCCAATTCTTTATGATTTTCTAACTTGCTGCTATTTAATGCTTTGAACTAAAGCTATTTTTCTGCATTCATGAGAATGCCCTTTTCTTGACATCCCTAATTTATAACATTATTTTCTAAGACAGGATTTTCTATTGTCTTCTTTTAACCATCCATGTTTTCTCTCAGAATTAGGAGCATCAGTATTTCTAAATCAGACAAAACTCGTGCATGAGTTTTTGCTCCATTAGAATTCCTGTTCATGTCTAGCCAGTGATTTTTGTAATTCCCTGTTTTGCACAAGCCTCACACCTTCATTGCCTGAATTTGAGGGTTGGGGTCAGGTGCCACATTCGCTTTATGGGATATGTTCACACACTGCCTCTGACCTCTCCCTGCTTCTCAGCCTAGTCCAGGATAATCTTTATTTTCGCACTTTTGGTGCCTCTCCCCTGCCATTCTTGTGCCTGTGTCTCTCCAAGATGAGTTTTGCCTGTGAGCTGCTGCCTTTTCCTCTTCCTTTACAGTTTTCTTTCCTTCTTGTCCAATTTTCTACAATGAGGACCAAGAGAGAGCATTTATTCCTTCTCTTGAGGTGAATTAGAGAGGGTGGTTAACATCCCTTCTCTATCTAGATCATGTCATTCTCTCTTTATTATCAATTTGAAACATTTTTTTTTCCTTTATAGGGCATGATTCAGCTCTCTACAGTAATTATTTATTATTAGCTGTATCATAATGATGCCTAAAAGCTCCAAAAGAAGTCAAGACCCAGTGTGCAAATACGTAGTAAGAGACAGTCCCTGCCTTGGAGAGCTTGTGCTCTAAATAGGAGAGGGGAACTGAGAGTGGCAGCAGAAACAGGCAAAAAGAGGGGTGATTTACCTGTACCATGTGGCACATTAGGAGCCAGAAATGGAGTCGGTTCTCTTGCCTCCCAAGGCAGGAATGTCTCCTGTGCGCCTTCCAAGGAAGGATGCAGCTGTAGGTGCAGGTGAAGTCTCTATAAATCTCTGCAATCTAGTATATCATTTAAACAAAAAATCTGCAGTGAGTTACAGCCCCAAGGAAGCAAAGTAGTAGCAGTAGTTTTCTTTCTGCCACTATTAGATTGCTGGGCTGCCACCTCTTTTTCTACACATTACCCTGAGTTTTCCCAATTTTAACTCACCCTGAATTAATTACTTGCTAAAATTAATATAAGTGTCCAAGGGCCCCATGCATAATTCCCAATTATTTTTAATTGAGCAGATATGAGCTGAGGAGGTGTCAGCTTCCTGATGCAGATGTTTGCTGTGTTGCAGGCTTTGAGCCCACATCAGCCCCAGCGCCCTCCGTGCCTGCGTGGCAGGGCCGATCCATCGGTACGACCAAGCTCAGGCTGGTGGAGTTCTCAGCTTTCCTTGAGCAGCAGAGGGACCCTGAATCAGTGAGTATTTATTGCCCTTGTGTCCACTGATCCTCAGCTTTGCTCCCCTACTCCTGATCTCCAGCTTTTCTCCTTTGCTCCCCACCCTCTGGGCACGCCTTCCATCACGTGTGATGGAATACTGCCGGTGTCTCTGTGCTCACTGCTGCTCTGTGCAGTATTCCTCTCACCCTAGCACTGTGTTTTCCTCTCTTGTCCTCCTTTTCCCCATTTGCAGCAGCCAGGGGCCTCTGTGAAAGCAGGCAGGGTTTGCTCTGGCGCCTGTCTCGCTGCTGACCTACTTTAGCAGGTGTACCAAATTGCATTGTGTTCTTGGCAAGAATTCAGTGCTTGAACTCTAAGTTAAAGCCTAATCTGTTTCCTAACCAAAACAAAATTAAGGACTTGCCCAGAAAGTGTGCATATTGTATATTGGATTTTTTTTAATGAAGTTTTAAATTTTCTTTTAGTTTTTAGTCTGTATACTGTACCTGCAAGGGTAGTTTCTGAAGCTGGCTGTAATGTGTCATTACTCCAGTAAGCCTTGAACCTTGACATTAATCCCCATATATTTACCAAGAGCTAGGTAGCCTAGCACTGATTCTACTGCATTGCAAATAAATGGAAAGAACTTCTTTCAGCTGGAACCTGAGAATTTTTTTCGAGATAATTTCTGAAAAGCAAATACTGTCCTGAATGGGTGATATGGACGGGCCATTTTTGTTCAGATTCCTGGCAAAATACAGTAGCCTGGAGAAGAGAGAAGCTGTCATTTTGCTTTTATAATCCAGCACTGGAAACCATAGCATTAATGGGCTCTGGTGTTATCCAAGGAGTGTTTACCCTGCGCTGTGGGGATTGGAGACATAGCCCAGAAGCCTTACAACAGAGGAATGCTGCTGGCAGGGCCAGATGCCTGTGAAAACACACCCTATCTCAGCTGTCCATTCACCCACCACGTGGCAGGGTGCTGCTTTGCTGAGTGGCAGCTTTGCCAGCCTGGATGGGCTCTGAGGGCAGCAAATGTTTGGCAGCAGGTACAGTTCTCTCAGTGCTCACCTGAATTTCCAGGGTTTCCCTGGAATCCCTTTGCCTTCCCATGGTCTCATGGCAGCCCTGCCTCTGGTGGGCTTCACCTCAGAGTGCTCCAGGCCCCTCTGGAGCACCCCCTCCACCCCAGCCCTGCGTCCCTCTGGGCAGAGGTTTGGATTTCTGGGTACAACATCCAGGTCTCCCCAGCAGTCACCCTTATCCATGCACAGATTCCCCAGCCCTTGCTGACCCCATGGAACGTGTCCTGCTGATTTCTGGGCTCTGCCATCCCCAGCCTGCCCCACACCAGTGTGTGTGTGTGTGTGTGTGTGTGTTTGCTCCAGGTTACTGGGAAAACACGATGTGGCCACGTGATGCTCAGCCTTGCTGTCTGTGTGTGAATGAAATCTTACTTCTGGGCAGTCTCATTGTTTTGCCACAGAGTTATCCCTTTTCTGGAGGTTTCTATAACATAAATCCATATACAAAGCTCCTGTGCTGATGTGGTGGGGTGTTTGTGTCAGAGGGAGCAAACAGGGCTGGGCAGCTGAGACAGTGGAGGTGTGAACAGAAGCATGGTTACCCACGATGGCCCCACAAGCACTGTGAAGCCTTCTTTGGAGCAAACTGATATTATTTGAAATTCCTGAGGGTGCAGAGGCCCAGTGGGTCTTGTCCCAGCTTGCAAGAAGCCTGCTGAGAAACCCACCCTTCAAATGCATTTATGCAGGAGGGTTTCCAGGACAAGCAGGAGCATCAAACTCCCCAGACTTGTTTTAGAAAAAGCAGTTACTTGTGTGCTGTAACACTGTAAAAATGAGACTCTAGGCAAAGCCAATTCCCAGTTTAGCTCATGCAGGTGGGGCAGGGCTCTGCATGGGGACAGCCTGCAGCATCCATGAGCACCAATGGGTGAGCCCCTGTGGCACTGAGTCAGCATCACTGCCTGGGAAAGGGCAGTCAGAAACAGGAGAAGGGTTCCTTACACTGAATTCAGTAAATGTGGTTATTTGGCATTGAGAGGGCATTGGGAAGAGCCCCCAGGGCAGTGTGGGCAGCTCCCAGGGTGTTTGCTGGAGAGGGCAGCTCTGCTGCTGCCAGCCTGCCCTGTCTCCAGTGCTCAGAGCTCTCCAGCAAGCACCAAGAGCTCTCCTTGGAGGTGAGAGCAGCCCCAGCCTCCTGTGGTGCCACTGCAGAAATGTGAATTCCTCCTGCAGCTTTGCCCATCTTTCTTTGTGGGGCTGTTTTACTGCAGGTACAGTTTGCACAGCAGGGGAAAAATGGGGGTTTATTACTTTTCACATGGAATCAGCGAGGCAGGTGACCTGAGTGTGTTTCCACATTGGGCTCATGAAGTCCTGCAGGCATGTGCTGTGATTGCAGCATCTCCTTTGTGCCTCTGCTGGCCTCAGAAATGAATGTGTTTGTGTGCTGCTACAGGAGACATGTGAGGGAGTTCTCCTCTATCTTCTGAAAAAGGACACTTAGAGATTCATTGCATTGCTGACTTCTCACAGAAAATTACATAAATTAGCATCTTCATCAAGTGTGCTTCCAACATTCCATTAAACAAAGGTGACCCTTCCTCCCTCTCTCCCCCAACCCAAAATCAGGCCAGAAAGCCTCATAGTGCTAGAGGCAAATAGACCAATTCCACCTCAAACTGTAGCCTGGAAGTTTATTGAACTTTTATTGTTCACTTTATTTGGTTTATTGGGATCAGGACTTGATCCTGGCAGACCCCTTGAAGTCCCTATTCCTGGCCAGAAATGAGAAATTTGGGTTTGTCAGCTGTGGTGGCTCCCACAGCCTGCAGTGGGGCTGTGCATGGGCACGAAGGTCCAACCACAGGGAATAATTCCTGGTGGGAGTGGGGCCTGCAGCGTTTCTGTGGCTCTTCCAATGCCAAATGCTGTTTAAAAGCTTTTTAAAAAGCTCAATGCCGGGCACTTTCAGAGGTTAGTTTAGATTGGGCATTCTGAAGGGTTGGAAATTAGCTCCATGGAGTCCTCTCACTTGTGGACAGCTGTTGATCTGTTGATCTTTTTCCTTGTTTAGACACAAAATTGTTCCATTTACAAAAGGGAAAAATATAGAAAAGAAACAATAAGGAGCCCTCACTGTAACTCTGCATGGCAGAAGATAGTCTGGGGAACACAAGATGGCAAAGTATTGGAACACTGACTCTGCAGTGAGGATGGGTAAAATTGCTCCACCTTTTCCATGAAAATCAATGCAGTTTACAAATGTCAAGCTGTATTTTGTTCTTGTGGCATTTTGTGCTTAAGTACAATTCCTAAATGGTGCATAGGAGTTTCCCTTGCAGGCCCAAGCAGCAGCATTTCAGCCACCTTTGATTATTCCCTGCCCTGTATAACTCTGTTCTCAGCAGATGGAGCAGTTTTTGTGCCCATCTGTTGCTTCCAAGACAGGTTTTACTTAATGGGGGCTTTCCATTTTTATTCCAATGGTTCTGTGAAAGTTCAGGACAAATGCTCAAACCTAGCAATCCCATGTTTCCTAACAAATATAAACTGAGCATGCAGGCAAGTTAGAGAGGATCTAAGCAACTGACTGCTACACAAGCAGATATAAAATTCAAAGGCTATAACTGAAATGAAAATAATTCAAAGTCTTTATATATATTTACATATATACACACATACTCAAGCTTGATTTTCAGTCAGAGAAAAAGCCCTATCACCACCCAGTAAAAAAAAACTCTTTCTTCTTTTTTGAGGCTTCTTGCTCTTGCTGTCACATTTATTTAAATTGTGAGCACTTCAGACAGCTTTACATTTAAAATATCTATATAGAGCTATATAGAACATGGCTGATGGACATCTTCAGTATTAGTCCACCCATCCAAACTGTCAGATTGTGTTAGGTCCAAATTTCGAAATGTATTTTAAAAAGTGGTGAAGAAATAAAACATTCTTTATGTTTTAATTCAGGTTTTATTGTTGTTGTAAAAAGACTTTGTGAGCCCGGGGAGAATTGTGCCTGAGAACCAGAAAGGGAAAGCAATTGCTCAAGGGCCATAAAAACAGCCTGCCATCATTAGCCAAATGCAGTAAAACTCACCAAAGTTAATCAAACCACCTAAGTGATGAAAAATAAATGAGATCTTTTCAAAAGAAGCCCTCCATCCTTGAACAATATCCATTGTTGCAAGGATTGTTTATCCTTTCTGTTCTCCCTGTGAACAGTAGAAAAAGCAGTGCAGCATTTCAGTCACAAGGAAGTCCTTGGTTTAGTGTCTTTGTGATGTGAAAGGACAAGAAAGCAAACCCACATTAGGATGAATGTCTCAGAGCTGCAGACTCTGCATTGGAGGTCATTTTAATCTGGAATCAGAAAGTTTTGCTGAGCACAAGGCTCATTTATTTTGCCGTGCTGGAGAGCTGCTCGTTGGCCGTGGGATGCAAGTGTTCATCTCTGTGAAATGCTCATTTTTGGGTCTCCATAGCCAGAAGTCCCAGGAAAGCCCTTTGAAGAGGCCCAGTGTTGACACATGGCACAGTTGTGAAGCTGTGGCATGGCAGGAGATTTCCCATCCTGCAGGATTCCTGGGGCACCCTGTGGATGCCTGTTGGAATGCCAGGGCAGCCTCCCCAGCCCGGCTGGGGCAGGACATGGGCTCTCCAAGGAGGGTCCTGGGGCCAGGATGGGGTCAGGGGTGCTGGGAGCATTCATCCCCAAAGCCAGCCCTCAGCTGGAAACCCGGCTGTGCTCTCCCTGCTGCCTCCATGGGCCTCTCCTCCTTGCCAGGGAGATCTCCCAGCAAAGCTGGAACTGCAGGGGACACGTGGGGTGGGCTGTGGCTGTGAATCCCCCACTCTGCCTGCCCCCAGCAGCTGTGCTGGCTCGCCCCAAGGGCTTTGCAGCTGCCTGTGCCTCTGCCCTGCATGTCCCCAGCTCGTCCTACAGCTTCCCCTGCACCCACCCCAAAACTGGGCAATATCCCCTGCTCTGCAGAGAGCAGATAATGACATGCTCACGTGCTCATTTGTTCCTCTGCTGCATTCAGGGGAGATGTAGATGGCCCTTCTCTGATAAGCAACTATTCAGTAGTTTGTTTTCTTCTGCTGTTGAAATGCGTGGCCCCGTGCCCTGCTCGCTGTGCACTGTCTAACCTCCCTTCCAAATGGAATTAATAATTCCCTCCATTTGCATTTCACAGATGTGCTAGTGCAGTCTTTTTGGATGAAGGAGCATTATTACTCACAATTGACAAACCAAGAAGTTCAGGTGCAAAAGAATGAATGGGCCACTGATTTTGAGGGTCCCCTTTGATTTGTCATGAGCTTGATTTTGCAGAATACTTAACATTATTGAGAGCTTCCTATAGTCAGGCATAATTTTCCCATCTGAGCACTCAGCACTTCTGGAACTGGGGCTGCAGGGTCTGAAATCAGGCAGGCCAGAGCTGAAAGATGCATCTTCCCTGTTGCAGAAAAGCTGATGGAAACGTTGTGTAAGCACCTTGCCCAAGCAGGCAGTCCTAGTTTCACACTGGGAAGTGCTGGGCAACCTTGAGGTGTCAGGGAACTGCCTTCCCTCATCACCTACCTCTCCGCTTCTGCAACCATAAAGTCACCCAAACCCCCCTTTTACTTCACATTTCTGATTCAATCCCTGAGCAGATCCAGGCAGGAGTCTGAATGCAGGGAGGTCCATGAAAAACCAGGTTGCCCATGCAGCTGTGTGGTAGCATACATCACAGAAAGTTCAGTTAACATTTCACAGGAATGTGTTAAAAACCTTAACAACAGGACTTGGTACAGACTCCAGTTAGAGCATTAAAATGTCATGTTTATAACTCCCAATCTGCTTCAGTGGAGGACAACAGCAGCAGGAATTAAATATTCAGTTACTAGTGTGTTTTGGTAGAAACAAGAAAACTTGTTGGCAGACCGAGTGATTTTCTTACATCAGCAGGAAATTAAAGCGTTTCAGATTTATGAGATACGGCAGCAGAGCCGAGGCTGGGCAGGGTTTGGGTTAGGGCTGCACACAGACTGATGATACCCCAGTGCCTGGCTCCCCCAGGAGCACAGTGATTGCTAGGGCAGGTGTGCCAGTGGGATTTGGGAGCGTTGAAGCACCCTTGCACTCAGCTGCTGTGCCCATGAGCAAGGTCATCCCCACAGAAACAGCTGCCCCCTGCCTTCCTCCCTGCTCAGCATCTACATCACCCTGTGCATGGGGAGCCATTCACTCCTCCATGTGCTGATCTGTGTGCTTGTGCCAGGATATAAGGGCAAAACTGGTGAGGAGCTTTTGCAAGTTACACGTGCTGGCTGATAGAGCAGGTGTAGGTGGTTCGTCTTTGTTCTGCACCAGCTTAAATGCTTGCATCCCCTGCCATTGGCAATTTGTCTTGGTTCTTTTAAATTCCTAAGTGGATTATAATTTTTCTCGTGGTATTATTTGACAACAGTCATATTTCATGGCTTTACTGCATTCTTTGGATGGTTGGAATTTTTCTAAGGGAAGGAGCTCAGCTTTAAGAGGCGGCCATCTCCAGGGCATGTCGTGTAATGCAGACACAGGAGGCAGAGCTGGAAATGTTCTTCCTATTCTTGTGTACTTAGAAACTACAGGATTTGACTTGTGCTGGTTTATGGCATCTAAAGCACATTATTGCCCCTATGCCAGATGCAAATCCTTTAAATGCTTCGGTGTGAGTAAATTCCTCAGCAACTAATGTACTTCAATGACTCTGGAATACTCAGTCTAAACCAACAGTGAATTATCAATATAATGAGGATGTTTTTAAGCTTTTCAGACACTAATGGGCGCAAAAATATAGGCAGAAAACTTTGCTCCTTTGCCTTTATCCATGCCTCAGTTGCTGTCGTGTTTGTCTAAAAGCGATAGGGATCATTTCAGTACCCATTTACCCTGCTCCAGTACTGCATTATCATTTGTTAGTTTGCAGAAATATGCCGTGTCTAATTAGCTTAGTAATGATTGTACTTAGCATAGGAATTGCAGCAACATAAGGAGAAAATAATCACACATTGCAATATCAAAATAAACATTTCTGTCCTAAGAATGTTGTCAGGTGATGTCATACCATCTGTCCTACTGTACCCGCTCAGAAATTTTGCTGCAGCAGCATCTGGTGCTTTGGCGAGCTCTGCAGACAACTGTGGCAGCTTTGCAGCTGCCTCCAACTCTGCTTTTATATTTAAAGGGTATTAAGACTTCATGCTCCATGCCCCTATAAATGCGTTTGCTTTTACTGAAGTTTGGATCCTGAGCAATTTGTATATTTGCCTGGCTTGCAGAATAAGGCACAGTGTGTGAATTGTCTTGGGAGTTTCCAGTGGCCAAACTGTAAAATGCAGCTCTCCCTTCCCCCTTGCCTCCCCAGCCGTCTTTAAGCTGGGAGAGAGACACCCTTTTGGGGAGGAGGACAATTTACAGGAGAATCTGAGCCCTCGATTCTGTTTCCATTAAAATGTGGTTATTTATACAACCTGGAACAACTCCAGCAGAGAAGACTGAGAGGAAACAATCCCCAGTTTTTTTTGCTTGTGGAAATGCCTTAATGAGATGTTATGTTTTCCTTTTTCCTTCTACAGAATTTAGAAAGAAATACAACCCTGCGAGAAAACACAGGCTGTATCTCGTTTTTGGCCCCATACCCAGATGAGTGTTCTCTGGTTCTAAATTCAGATTTCACTGTGCTAGATGATTTTTTAATAGATTTCAATTTCATTTCCTAAGTGCAGAAATCCAGCCAGTCCATTTCCTTTTCCCCAGAGTTTTGGACATCTGCTAGGGAAGACTTTGCTCACACCGAAGGAAGGCTCTGAGTGGTTGCCCAATTCATTTAGATTTGTCACTTCAATTTGTTCATTCAGCAGGTACATTGTAAACAAAATAGCTTAAATGAGGTTTGCTTTGAGGCTTTAAATATTTTATTTGTGCCTAGCTTTTGGGAATTGCCCCTTATGTACAGCATCTGTTCAGTGTGACAGGGTTCTCTAGTGTTCATTGACTGCATGTCAGCTTTCCCTTAACTGAGTTAGCGAAATGTTTTGTGATCTGCGTGGGGAAAGCCCCCAGTGTTTAATCCTGCCACTCTGGAGCTCCCTTACTCTGCTCTGGTGACCCTGGGAGGTGCTGACTGACTGCTGGAGGGTCTTTCCTGGTGTTCATCCTTCCAGCTTCGTTTCGGGGGCTGAAATGTTCTCTTGGGGGAATGGCAGCCCCTAAAAGATCATGTTGGGCTCCTTTGGGGTGGACTTCACTGGGCCAAGGGTGTCCCCCAGGCAGGAGAGGCACTGCCAAGGTGATTGCTGTGGTTATAGTGAGGTGTGATGGGATGAAGTTAAGAAATGGGAAATTGAGGCCGAATGTGTTTTGGCAGGGATGGTCCTCTACAGAGCTGGCTCCCGAGGGAAGGGGGAAAAGTTGGGCTCTTGAATATTACATGGGTTGAAATACAGGAGGACAATGTCTGTAGGAACAGCAGTATAGTAGTATAGTAGGAGTTCCTGTAAAATCTATGTACTGTATAAGTGGCCTTGCCCCAGTTCTAGTTATTTTAAATGAGCCACAGCTGCAAAGTCCTTAGTTGGGCAGCAGCTGTGGCTCGTGAAGGTTACTAGGATAAAAGGGGGTGGGTTGAGAGCCCTGGAGAAGCCCTGATGAAGTCCCAAGGAATGGCACTGCTGAGAAGAGCTGCATGTGAGAAAGTCACCCAGAAGGTATGGACTTTAGGAATATAATAACAGCAGTATGATTACAACACAGCAGTGCAGAGAAACTGGCCTTCTTGTCATCCTGCAGTCAAAAGGAAATGCCCTCCATCTCTTTTTAGCTGAGTTGTGCTGCAGATAGAGGTTTGCAATGTGCAGGAGCGGGCTCTGTGGCACCAGCAGAACTTCAGGCTCTGAGGACACAGGCCATTAAAACTCGCTGTTCAAAGGAGCAAAAATAAACTTTCCTCCTGAGCAATTCATCTTTTTATGCTCAGTGAAGGGCTCTTTATCACCGTGCTGCCGCTGGGCCTTGCAGTGTAAATGACCCCCTTGCAGAGGCTTTGGGGCTTGCCGTGGGGACACAGGGGTTTTTATTTGATGTTGACCCTTGTTCACAAGGGTGTGTGCCACAATCAGTGAAGCTGTTCCTGGGAACCATGCTGCAGAAAATCCCAGTGCCAGGAGGGAGTGATGCAGTCCATGGGAGCACAGCCCTGCTCTGTTCCTCTGGCTGATTTCCCTGTTTCTCCCCTGCAGTACAACAAACACCTCTTCGTGCACATCGGACACGCCAACCATTCTTACAGCGACCCCTTGCTGGAGTCGGTGGACATCCGCCAGATCTACGACAAATTCCCCGAGAAGAAGGGCGGCCTGAAGGAGCTCTTTGGGAAGGGGCCGCAGAACGCTTTCTTCCTCGTCAAGTTCTGGGTGAGTCCGCCGGGAAAAACGCCAAGCGCTTGTTTTGAAAAGTTTAATAGTAATAAAATGGTTATAAAAATAGTAATACAATTAGGGTAATAATAATTTGGACAATTTGGATTAGGACAATATGAGACAATAGAGACAAAGAGTTATGGATGGTCCAGGTACCTTTTCTGAGAACAATAAGCCCAAAAAAGGCCCCAGGTTAACAGAGGATTAATCCTTAAAAGCAGCAGCCTGTTGCATATTCATACACTTCATACACGATGCATAAATTCCATTCAAACAGAGGATCCTGTCTGGGCAGTGTCAGCTTCTTCCTCTGAATCCTGACAGCATCTTCGAGGCAGGAAGAAGTTAATTTCCTCTGATTATGGAGCAATAAATTCTTTTTCTCTGAAAGGTTCAGGTGTCCTGTGGCTGCTACCTCACTGCAAGTCCTTTCTTTAAAAAAAGTATCTTCCATAGCACAGTTTCTATTTTAACATTTTTTATAACCTAAAACTATATTTAACACACTACTTAAGAGCCTTAATACAGCATTACTTCCTAACACGACACATATAACATTCATTTCAATATTTGCCAAAAGCCAATCATAAAATACACGTTTTTCACATAAGGCGTGGAGGGAAGGACCCTGCTGCCCAGCAGGGCTGTGGGAGGTGTTTCCCCCTCTGTTACCATGCAGAGCTGTTTTCCCTTCCCTGGCACAGAGCTGGCAGCTCCAGCAGCCAGGGCAGATGTGCCCCAGCTGTGCCTGGCCCTGCACTGCTGGGCAGCAGCCAGCAGGTACCCAGAGCCCGTTTGGAGATGGGAACTGCCATCTAGTGGTCCAGGGAAAGGCAGGGAATGGAGGCTGCTTTGGGGATTGCCGAGGTGCAGCTGCTGCCAGGTGCAGGGTGTGAGGGTCAGCCCTGCCCTCAGCCCCTGCTTGTGCACAGACATCCAAGCTGAGGCAGCTCTGAGCCTGGCAGGCTCTCAGGGCTGCTTTCTTGAAGCACATCTGCTTTCTCCTTGCCTTTTTGTTGGTCAGCCACAGGATTCTGCTCCATAGCTTGTCATGTTCAGAGCAAGGGTGAAAGAATAAGTGGAATGGAGGGCTGGGATGCTGCACATTGATCTAGTAGTGGTGAATTTCATTGATAAGCCAGGTTTTTCTTATTGTATTTGCAAATTATCGTGTTAGCGACATAACCATAAAATAATAAAATCATTTAGGCTGGAAAAGGTCCCAGATCATTGAGTTCAACCATCAGCCAAGTCCACCACTGAACTACTAAAAGGTTCATCCAAAAGGATCAGCAAATCTGCAGGCTGAGCCTCATGCTTATACTAAAGCTTTTTATGCTCACTAATTTGTTGGGGTATTTTTTGTGGCATGCTCATTTTCCTAGCAGCAGTTAGCATCTAAGCATTTACATTTTTTCTTTTAGAACTTCACTAAAAGGGGCGTATTTAGGGTTTAATTACAGGGTGGACAGGTTGAGGCTGAAACCAGAAGAGGTTGATCTGGAACCACTGCTTACAATCAGATTTCCTTGAGCTTATCTATGGGATTTGAAATACTCTACACCTCATAAATGCCCCGGACTTCATATCTTTCCAAGAGCTTCTGTGGCACCAGATTTAGGAGTGGAAACTGGAATGAGGGAAACTCTTTTTTTTACTCAAATCTGGATGTAGAAGGACTAAGCCACTGAGCAGAAGCTGTGTTGGACTGCAGAAGAAACCCATTGAGAAATTCACAGGGCTTAAAACTGGGCCTGTGAGCTGTAGACCAAGTGTTTGAGGGCTGGCTGAGCAAAGAGGCCAGAAAGAGCAAAGAACAGAGCAGAGGGAGCTGAAACACAGTGGTACCAGTGGTCTGGAACAGGCAGGTGAGAATGTGGGGTCAAAAAGAGGGAGGCAGTGGGAAGAGGGAGCATTTGGGATAAGGAAACACAGGCATGAAGTACAACAAAGAAAGTTTCTGGGAGGTGAGAAAAGGACAAACATAACAGCAGGAGAAATCTGCCTGCAGTGGAGCAGAGCTGGGAGTTAAGGGTCTGTGACCACTAAATACATTTCCTTGAGAAATTTGGCTTGAGCTGAGGCCATCATCTCACCAATCCACTCTGTGTAATAAATATTTGCAGAGCACACTGGCAAAAATGAATGTCACTTCACATGCCTGTTCTCATTTCCCACAGAGGATGATAAGCCTCAGACTTTATACTAGATGTGGATGCAGCAGAGATTTATGATATGGTAACTGAGGAATTGTATGTTCTGCTTTTTCTCCACGTGGAAATTGATTTTCAGGCACACTGAATGCTCCAAGGTGTACCTAAAGCCAGTAGAGACCTTTTTGGGATCATTGGGGTCTGTGGTGCTCTCCTGACTTTGGAAATCCCAGTGCCAGCCTTCTCTGCTCTGTCTGCTGCCAGCAGTGCTCCCCTTGAACACTCCTGTCCCAGCCCCACATCTGTGACACATCTGGGGGGCTGGCACCCCCCTTCTCCCCAGGTGCTCACTGACACATCAGACTCAGGCTGCCTTGAGGCCTCGAGGTGATGCCGTGAAATAAACCCCTGTGGAATGGGCAATTCTGCGCTCAGCACGGGTCCTGAGGAGCTCGGGAAGCAGCACAGGGAACAGCAGAGACAAAGAAAGGTTGTGAGGATGTTCAGCTGTGTGGCTGAAGCCTGTGACATGACACAGTTCAGCAGCCAGGATGTGCAGGCAGCTTCAATCCAACATTTCCTAACCTCACCGTGCCTTCCAACACAATGGCCTTTTAACACAATTTTGTGCTGTATTAACTTAGAGATTAAAAACCATACAGTGCTAACATCCTTCTGAGTTATACATTAAAAATGTGGTGAGAACACTTTCCTGAGCCATGATCTTAAAATAAACCAGTGCATTTTCTCTCTCATCAAGTGAGTGAGGCAGAGAAGGTGCCTGGGGTGGTGTTTGAGTGTTGCAAGAGTCACAAGGAATGCTCTTCTAGGAAAAACTTCACACCAGTGGCCCCCAGTCCTAAACATGTGTAGGAATATGTCCAGGAAAGCCAGAAGATAGCTAGTCATGAGAATTAGATCCTAAGCTGTCAGCTCACTGTCCTTTATTACTCTCACCCCAACAGGGCGTTTCTTCAGGAAAAAAAGGATGCTGTTCCCTTTTTTATGGGGAGTGTTAAAAAACTCTTTTAACCAGTCATAATATTACCAGGAAAAAGCTGGCACAGGTTGCTGACAGTGGTTTTTGACCCTATAAGTGATCTCAAATATATTCGTATGGAGAGAGATTAATTTTGGCTGAATTAAGTATCTGGTTCTGAATTAGTATCACCTCTCTCATCATCTGCTACTCCTCCTCCTCTGTAAGTTCAGCTCCTCCCTGCTTCAGTTCATGGTGTGTGGTTATTGCCTAGTCCCAATAGTCTGTCTCACCATTTATTTCCCATTTCCCATCCTTTGTGCTGTCTCCCTCCCTCATTCCCATGTAGCCATCAATCATTTGCTCAGCACTGTAAGCTGCTGCATCCCAGGTGATCGTGGCACCCCTTGTTTGGGTGGGCAAAAGAGGAAGGTGAATTTTGGTTGGGCACATTATTACAGGTGTGAAAGCACTCTGAGGAGAGTCAGTGAACAAAAAGCAGGGTCTGAGTGAAAGAAGTCAAAGCAAACCAGAGAAGGGAAGCTGGAGAGTGAGAAGGTTGAAAGTGAAGGTGAGGATTGGGTGCCAGGAGGAATGGTGACCCTGCAAATGGATTTAAGGGGAGTCAGCATGCCACTGGAGGCAGCACAAGGGGTGTTTTGTTAGACATTATTCGTGCTGTGGAATGAGAATATGGGAAACAGGAAGACCACAGATGAGTACTTGTGCTGAGGATGACTAAGGCAGAAAGCAGCTGAGCTCTGGTAGCTGGAAACAAAACTCCTCTGGCTCTTTCCCCTTTAGTTCTGCTTCAGGCTGCTCACCAGCACAGCTTTCCCTGCTGTCCTGATTTCAGTAATAAGGTTTGACTGCAAAAAAGGTGGGAGGGAAAGGTCTGAGATCCTGCAAGAAGACATCTGCCAGTTGTGGATTTGACCTACCCAGGCAGCACTGGGATGGAGTACAAAGCAAAGTTTGCTTTGCTGTGCAGAGCTTTATTGGTTAGTGCAGATTGTATCTCATGGGAAACACAGCCTGATGCTGGGAATGGATGAACTCCTGGCCCTGGTCCTGGTGACACATCTGGATGTCACACTTTTGGGCCTCTTCCTACATAGCAGTGCAGGAGGTACAAAAGGAAGAGACTCCTCCTCCTACACCACCTCAAACAACCTGCAGTGCAATGCCCTGGCCCTTGCCTTGCGCCTGGAATGCAGTGACTTTGTTCCTCTGCTTTATCCCAGAGAGCCCCTGGGGACCCCAGAGTTCAGGAGAATTGCCACAGAGACAGAGTTTTACACTAATGAGGGAGTTTCACTTGGCGTGCTGTAAATAAGGAGCAATGTCCTGATGGTGTGGCGCAGGAAGTTTGTGTGACAGGGGTATGAGACTGGAGATTACTGGGTTGTAGAATTAAAACAAAAATTAAGGTGGCTGAACAAATGTAAAAGCTGTCCTAGAACACTGATGCAGAATTCAGACAAGGCTGAAGAGTATCTGTGGAGGAAACCCTTCCCTGGGTGCAGGTTAATTGCACAATCCTGCTTCTCTCACCTCATGGGACTAAGCCCAATCTGTGCAAAACAACCAGGAATGATTTGTGGCATCTAACCTTAATCTGAGTGTGGTCAAGGTTCCTGGTGGTCAGTTTGTATTTAAACTGCTTTTGTGACTTGGGAATAGCCTGAGTTTTCTGCTCTTTAAAGTTCCTGTCAGCCTGTCTAAAAGCCCAGTCAGCACAGGGTGCCTGTGCTGGTTTTTTTATTGGTTCTATCCACGTTCATATCTAGTGCTAGCCCCACTGATTGCTCACTACTATCCCTAAATTCTCTAATTGTAAGCAATACACTTAGGCCTCCTAG